CTGTTCCCCTCAGAAGGGAATCACCTCTGACAGTGACCCTCCTTTTTTTCTTAGCTGAGGCAGTCGTAACACGTGGGGCTGAGTGACTCATCCTAGGTAACCCCCTGGATGGACCTTCACCCACATCCTCATTAGCTGGGCCCTCACATTCCAGAGTCCCGTATCTGCTGCTTAAGGGCAACTGGGGAGGTGAGCAAGGCCAGGAGGGGATTCGCTTGCCACCTCGAGCAGTGACCTGTTTCCCCCCCATCTCTTAGGTCCCCTCTTTCTGCTCGATGGTAAGAGGGTCGGGGGTCCTCTGCTTCTTGTGGAGCCGCCTCCTGCTGCCTCTGCCCCCGGGAGGGCAGGGGGCCAGTCGATCTCGCTCTCACACTCCCTGATGCTCCTTAACCTCTCCATTTCCTCCCTCAGCTCTGCCACCAGGCTGAGCAGGTCATTCACCTGGTCGCCTGAGCACAGCAGTTGTCTCTGCTGTCCTCTGGTATGAGCGCCAGGCTCAGGCATTCCCTGCAGCTGGAGACCTGGAGAGCTATGTGTCTGTATGGGACCTCCGGCTGGGTCCCCACGCTCCTTCTGGCTTTCATGCGAGTGGAAACCATGGCTGGAACGTCTCCTGGGAGAGCGATGTCCACTAGTCAGGTTGCAAGAAGGGGGACTGTGTCCTGCCCGCGCAAACTGCCGCGCTGCACCCTTTTCGCTGCACTCCTGGTCGCTCATGCTCCCTGGGGGCTGCTCTTCCTTCAGCAGCATCCCTCACCTGTAACTTTCTGTCCTTGCAGATATGATGGCAACTCACTGCTGAGCAGCATTGAGTGCTACGATCCCATCATTGACAACTGGGAAGTGGTAACCTCCCTGGGGATGCAGCGCTGTGATGCTGGAGTCTGCGTCCTTCGGGAGAAGTGATGTGGAGGGAACTTACAAAGAACACCCTATAAAAAGTCTCAGCTGGAGGAAGAGTCCCAAGTGATTTGCAGTGACTGTTCTTGAGAGTTGTGGATGCTGTGGAAATAGGCACCAGAACAGCAGCTTTCTGTGCTGCTTTTGACTAGAGCATGTGCATAAACGTGTTATCTCAGCAGTCATTTGAAATCAGGGGCTCTGTGTGGAGCTGGAGAAAGGTGGTGGAGTGGGTCAGGAGGAGCTGTGTTCTCTGCTGTTCCTGTGGCTAAGTCTGTCGGCAGAGCAGAGATGCCCCCAGCCTTGGTGTCAGCCAGCCTGGTGAATGCTTCCAAGGACATGTACATACAACTGGGTGGTCTCTTCAGCCACTGCAGGACCACGCGGGTCCTCTGGTTGCTCTCAGCCACGTGGATGTGTGAGGGTGAATCCAGCTGCTCTTATGTTCCAGCTTCAAATCATCTTGTACATACTGAATGTTTAAACATGCTCCTCAAGCACACAGCAGTGCAGAGCCAAATTGAGTGAGTGTGTGTGAGGGGGTCCTGCACTGTAGCTGCATCTGCAGGTTCCTCACAGGTCTGCACACAAAAGGAGTCGCAGGTTAAAGCTGTCAACTACTGACACCCAAAAGTCTGAGGCGGCAGGGGGAAAGCTCATTGGTGCAGAAGCAGGTCTGCAGCACTTGTGCTCTGATCAGAGGGCTCAGCAAGGTTCATTTGTATTTCCCTCGAAAAGCTTGACAGACCCAGCTGCAAAGCGCTGCATTTTCTGGCAGCAGGAGCCTTGCTGCGGTGTGGGGAGGTCACCCTGCAGAGGCCCTGAGCGGAGGGACACAATTGCTACTGTCCCTGCAGATCTTGCTGGTGAGCGACTGGGGTTTGTCCCTGGACAGACCTCTGTCCACCGCACCCACGTCAGCCTTTCAGCCAGGTTCATTGTGTTGATTTTCCTTTTATCTAGGGTTTTTCTGCTTCCACGGCCATTTTGGACTGACACCCAGGCTTCCATTTTGCCCTTTGTTCTCAGCTGTTTATTCCCCTGCCTCTGAACTCCACGTCCTCTTACACTAGCTATCCTTTGCCTGCCCCACGAACCCCAAGTTCTCTCTCCTCAGCATGTCTCCTGCCTCGCTGCGTTTCTGGGAGCATGGGCTCTCCGCCGCCGTCAGCTTGGCCCCCGCAGTGCCTGGGCTCCGTGTAGTGCTGCTCGTTGAGCTTACTGCTGACTCCTTGCTTGGGGGACAGGGTGGGATCAGGGACGTGGTAGCATGACTTAATAATGCACTTTCAGCCAACGCTCTGACTTTCTGCGTTTGTTTCTATCACACAAGTGTTCTGTGGTTTCATTTCCTATGTTTATTTTTTAATGAAAATATAAAGAATAAAATATTTCCTGAGCCAGTGGGAATTTAGTGTCTGTTCTCTACCTTTAAGACGTTTGTCTCACCACTGTACGAAGGGTATGTACGAGCCCCGTGCCAGACCAGGCAGCCACCCTCAGCTGCTCCGTGTCGTGGTGGAAAACAAGTGCTCCGTCCGCTCGGATCCAGCGATGGCACAAAAACCTGTCAGGACTTGCTAACTGGGGGTGAGTTTGTTGCAAGATCTGCTTGAGAAGAGTGTGGCAGCGGAGATGAGGAGAAGACTGGGATAACACTGCTATAATAGAGCCCGCAGCTGCAAAAAATAACAGCTTGTCTGTCCACCATGGGAGCGTGGGGTGAATGGAGCCCGGCATTAATTTGTCTGTCAATGGTGTGGCTACAAAACGCGCTCCTGGCTCCCCTCTCCAGAACCTTCGGTGGATTTCAGAGCCAGGCCTCCGCAGCCTTCGATGACTGAAGGCTCTCCCCGCTGCCTGGTCCCCTGGCAAACACCTCACCCGC